TTGTTTGCCTGGTTTTCCATCTTTCTCCTAATACTATAAAATTATAGAATAAGTTGCTCTTACAGCTTCAGTTGAAAGATCATGTAAATGTGGCTGGGCTATGTGATAGCCCTTTCTCCTCTTAGCTGTTGCGGAATTACTGGAGCATAGCCTTACAGTGAGTGTAAGAGAGGATATAGCTCTCACAGCTCAGTAGGTCATTCTTGGATTATGTCATGGATATTGCCAATAGGAGGGCAGTAGAAGGGCTACTTAGATTAAATGATTCAGTCCACTGCTTTAACAGAATGTCATTTAGAGGAATAGAACTATAATTATCATCATTCTTGGAAGCAACTATTTTTTTCCAATGTTTTATCCAAACATATATACATTTCTGAATCAGGATCAAAAATTAATCTACATTTATTATTACAGCATTATTTAGCTAAGGAACAAATACAAAAGAAAAAAGACAGCAGACATAATTTTGTGCTTAATAATAATAATACTTCTTCATATAGGAAGGTATGTCCAGCTCTGTTTTCTGTAGTAGATTTAATAAACCCTGCAGTGCTTTTTATTTTAAATAATTATGGAAAATAGTTTTTTCTATTAACTTAAACTTAGTTATTAAGGACTTATTGAGCTGGCAAAAAGAAGCATGTTCATGTGCAAAGGATTCAGTGGTTTGTAACTAGTCAGCTCTGTTGTGATAAAGAAAGTCAAAACTACTGTCGGTGATCTTACACTTTCCCCTTTACATGGTTAATGAAGAGGGGGGCTTTTAAGGCAAAATACTGCTGTTGCCCTTCTTGTTCTTATATAAAAAGTAGTTTAAAAATATTTGCAGCTTCTTTTAAGGTGACAGATCATCTTTCAAAATGTGCAGTTAGCGTGGGGGCCAGTCTGACTGGTACCAGTATAGTATTCCTATATGATACTGCTGTTGGAGTCCCTACACTGACTTTTAATTCATGGTGGCTGTCGGTCAAAATGAGGTGGGAGAACAGTCTGTATTTTAATTTTTTTATTTCCGTCATTCTAAACAGATGCTTGGGAAAAAAAAAAAAAGTTTTGCAAGTTTAATCTTAATAATCTTCACCCAAAAAAAGCAGACATGCTGTGTCATAAAATAACTATTAGTTATTTTGTATCCTATAAATCTAACTTGAGTTGATAATATGGTCCATTACCAGCTAACTGCACAGAGTATTTTTCATTTTACACTCTTCAGTTACTTTTTAGTGAAGTGTTAAAAAATATGAAGCTTTTCTCCTCTCTAAAATTGCACACTGTCTGTCTGTTATTAGGGAGATAACAGCTCTTATAAATGTTTCAGTAAGCGTTAAGTAGACAGTTATGTGCACTCTCATTCCACGCTTATTTGCTTACTGTAATAAACTGATAAAATATGTGTGGTTTGTCTCTGTGTATCTGCAGGCATCATGAGTCACATAGATTTCCTTTAGAAATAATGTTGTGTCTGCAGAATTGATTGGTTATTTTCATAAACCATCCAAAGGTACACAAACGACTTCTATTATTTAAACATATGCTATGTAAGATTTGTAGGGGATTGTCTCTTGGTTGCTAGATGCTTCTTGTTCTATTAACTCTTTGGAATATTATTTTAACCCCAGAGTGATTGCAGGTATCTTCCCTATGGGTTTCTTTAAGTGTTGCAATTGTATGCATTAAAAAAATTAAAATTAAAACAAAAAAACTCTGTTTATCAGACTGATGCAACTGCTAAATAGTCTGCATTACAATCAAACCAACCTTTGCCAGCTCAAAACCCTTGCTAGCAAGGAGGGGGCTTGAGAATTCTCATTTTCCAGAACTAAATACCTTTGTTCAGCGCATATACATTTTATTTATTTTTAGTACTGCCACGTTAAATGCAACTGGAAATTAATGTTCTACAGGAAGGAAGATGGTTAAAACATAATGTCATTATTCTGGCTGTCCTTTGTGTGTTACTCTGTATAGTATGTTGAAAATAAAAGTGAATGGGCGTACGAGTGAAATTATGACTGAAACATGAGAAGTAATGCTGAAAGGAGCATAGATTAAAATCTCTAAAAATCACAGGAAGGTTTCAGTAAAATTTCTGTCAGTGTTACAATTTAAGTATAGTGAGGGATTTTTGTTGTATGTGTATGCATATGTAGCTACATGTTGGACTTCTGACTACTAATTTTTTATGTTTTCATTCCTATTATCGAATAGTATTAATAAAACCAGCTATCTGTTAGCATAGAAGTTAGTTTTTAAGACATTAAAGAACTTAAAATTATTTTTTTAAAAGTACTTTTTAAACAATAAAACGTATTTCCTAAGCTTGTTAATGAAAAATGGGTGAACCATTTAATGAAATAACTTTTCTATTATGCATGTCCAGCTCAAATTGAATTAAATGTTAGAAGTTAAAGACTAACCTTAAACACAAAAATAAGATTTAAATTACATCTTAAAACTTAAATTTTATTCATTATTTCAGCAATGGCTTAAGTAACAGATGCTAGTGTGACTCTGCTAATAACCTGTTACTGCTATTGTCTCTTCCTATGTTCCAGTGAGATATTTACTATCTGAAGTACCTACTTTCTTGTTTACTGACAACTGAGTTGTTTTTCGAGAGTTTGACCTTGTCAATTATTTCTAGAAATCTAAGCAGAGTACAAATCTATTAAAGTTTGGGTTTAGTATTCAAAGATGTTTTGAATTTTGAATAACTGTGAAGGTCCATACAATTGGTACTTTTTCCATTTATTTTACATTAGCTGAAAATCTGGTCACGTGATGTCAGAGGAGTCATGATTCTAAAAATAGAATCTCAATATATAAGCTACATAAAAATAACGCTAATCTTATCAGGTATTTATGCATATAAAGTGGCATTGGAGTAAAAAGATACCTGGTCATTATGGGTTTTGTAAAATTTCACTGAATTGTGCTCTTGGACAAAAGTATTAGATATTTTTGTGCTTGTCAGGTATCAGTAATTGGACTGAAAAAATTGACACCATTTAAAAATACGGTGCCTGTATTCTTCAGTTGGTATTATTATTTGAAGAAGGACAGAAATGTGATTATTTGGCTATGGGTTCTAGTGAAAACACTTGTATTTTCTTCTGATCGTATAGGAAAAATGTCCTATATGATAATTGCATTATCTTTTTAGGGAGAAGAAAATGTCTGAGCTTCACCGGTTTACTTTAAAAGTATAAATAAATTGTACAGATTTGAAGTTGGGTTTGTGGAGTTTCCTCAGTTCAGATATATTCTGAAGCTGCCTTTAGTCTTCATACTGAAGGTTACTGCTGGATCACATTTCTAAAAAACTGACACCAGAGTGTTTGTGTATTAGAGAAAGAAACACTAGGTAAAAATTTGAAACTGAAATATGAAATTTTGCAGAGGTGTTTGCTCAATCACATCCTGTATGTGTTGTTCTAATTATAGTCACATAGTGGTTGAGTTTTGAGGGGATGGGAAGCCTTTCTGCCTTTTTTCTTTCATTATTTCTTCTTCATTCAGTATGGTATGTGTGAAACTTAATGCACCTTCCAAAGCCACCTCTGAATACAAACTCATTCAGTTCCTCATGTAGTTTTCTTGAGTTTTCATCAAAGTAGTGCCCACACTTCTAAACATTTATTAGTTAATCTTTACAGATACCCATTTGAGGTGATGCATACAACTAGCCTGGCTTTCCAGTTCAGAAACTGGTGCTTGGAGATGAAGACCAAGTTTGATATGTGCTCACTAACTTCTGAAGTTTTCAATGGGATTCTTTACAGCCTGCTGTTTTCCAGATACTGCCCCATTTCTGTAACATCTTGTAGGTTTAAATTCCAGCTCTTACCAGCTTCTGCTATTACTGGAAGAGTTCACTAAGTCTTCAGATCAGCATCTCAATGTTAAATGTGGCGGTCAGGAAAATGTAGCAACCTGTAAGTTTTGTATGGAAGGCAAGGTAAAAGCCCATTTTCCTTGCTTAGCTGCTTGGAGTCTTGAACATCTTGCTATTTACAGCTCTCTCTTTCACTTAGTTACACATTCAGTGCTATGTGTAGGGCAAGAGAAGATGGACACCTATCAGTGGAAACAGATAAACAGATATATCTAACATTTAGTGTAAATTTCAGTGGCTCAAAGTGCATTGATCAGATAAATGGGATTTTCATGCTGAGCATTTGGCTTTTTCAACCTTCACATTCTGTTTGTGTGGTGTTACTTTTCCTGTAATTTCCTAGCCTTCCCTTAAACTTGTTTAAAGAATTCAAATTCAGTTTTCAGTGGTTTTCTGTATATTCCTTACTTTTGCGCTTTTGAGCTCATGATTACGGATTTCCTTATCGTCAGTATCTTCTGGGAATTTGCATGCTGAGTGTCTTTTATTCATGCTACTTCTTTGGGTAGAATGGACCCAAATATCCTTGGGATTTCTTACTGCTCATGATGGCAAGACTATTCAAGAAGTGGCAACATCCTTCTGCTCTATGCAACTGTGGTTTTAGTATTTGACTGGTGTAATTGTTAGGGAACATTTTTGGGGGTTTAACAAGAGAAGGAGAAGACAATTTCTTACTATACTTTCACAGTACACAATGGGCTTGGCATCACCCTTGAGTTCAGATGCATAGAATGAAGAGTAACTTCTTATTAGAAACAACATAATTATTTTAACTGTGACTCTTAAAAAAACTTCCAATAACTTAATGGATAATTGTAGAGTTAAAATATTGAAAACAGATTTATAATGGAAAGTGAGGCAAATACAACAAAGTTAAAGCTGCTATTTCTCAGCACCAAAGATGTTCTTTTTAGGCTCTGTTATCTGATATCTATTACTGTGATTTGTTTATAGATCTGAATATGTCCTTACATGTTTCTAGTTCACTAAGATTACCACTAGAAAGCAGGCACCTCTAGCTGAGTGGAAAGTGCAATATTTAATTCTCATTTTATCTGTTCTTTGCTTACACCACCAACTGTTGTTTTGTACTTAACAGGTCACTACCCAAGTCTCTGTGCCAACAAAAACACATGAACTGCTTCATCGAATGAGTGGAAAAGGATTAGCAGCTCATTATCACTTCTCAAGACAGCCAGGCATTTTTGGTGATCGTATGGTATCTGTGCAAGTGACAGTGACAAATACAACTGATCAGAAGATAGAGAATATTCGCATCGGGGAGAAGAAATTACCTCCAGGCATGAGGATGCATGAGTTTAATCCAATAGGTAATTGTGTCCTATCTTTAAAAATACAGAATCTTAACCATTTGCAAAGTCTCCAATATAGGAAAGTGGTTTTGCATAGTCATAGGTGTACTCATATATATGTACGTATACACACCTATACCTATGTATGTATACACACACACACAACTATCTTCTCCTAGATAATCTGATTTTAACAAAAAATTAATTCAGATTTGCCCTACTTGTACTTGACTTTGAAAATAACTCTTTAGATCAGAACTTCCATGCCTGAAAGCTTACATGCTTGTTCAAATATTAGTTATATTATATCAATTCCAGTTGATATATAAAATTTTTCTGCCTCCCCACAGACTTTAATTCTCTTCCAGCCTTAGTCCAGAATGGCTATAACAGACTACTATTAAGAATGAGGTTTTGGTTTATATATTCATAGTTATTTTCTTTCCAATCTTTAAAGAACATTTGTAGATGTATTATTTGGTTTGGTGGCTCAGAGCTTTCTCATAGTTTTCCTTGTGAGCTTTTGGCAGTGGAATGGAAAGGTGTGTTTTAGTCTAGTTTGCACCTACCATACTTCTGCAAAGTGTGGCTTCTTAGACTAGGTAGAAAGCAATGCTGTAGTCGGTCCTAACCTGAATTGTTTTACTTTCTACCTTCTGATCAGGATTTTTGTTTGCTAAATTTCTGTTAGTGAAAAAGAGTGGAAAACCTGAGAAAGAACAGCACAGGTCTTAGCAACTTTTATTCAAGGGTGGTACCTGTGCACACGATCTGCTTTCTTTTCTTAGCAGTTCTCTGAGGACATTGTGGTATAGTAAGAAGGAACAAAAGTGTCTCTGTTGCATAATATAAATGGAAAGGACAGACATGCTCCTTTTTGACACAAGCTCCCATACTCCTTCTTCTCTTTTAATGGCTATATTACTATGTGAATCCATATCATGTTAGAATAATACAGAAACAAGTTCTTAAAGTACAACAGTGACGTAAAGATTTCAGTAGTTAAAAAGATGTTTGGTATTAAATTGTCGTATGCTATTGAAATATTTTTTTAACATTTGAAAGGCTATACAGATTTGCACCAAATAGCTACAAAAGCAATTGTATAATGCTACAGTTTATTTCAGAGTTAAAATTTTGGAACCAATTGCATTTTGATAATTATACATACTTGATCAAGACAGTTACTTTTAGGAAAGATTAATTTTTGTGTTAATATTCCTTGAGATAAGGCATCCAGTGCAGAGTTCTGATTTCAAGTTAGTTTTGACCATCAACCTAATTTTATATCCCTCCCATTAAACATAAAATAAAGTCACAAAAGCTTACAAGTAGAAGCCTAGTTGTTGTGGTTTAACCCCAGCCAGCAACAAGCACCACACAGCCACTTGCTTTCTGTCTGGGATTAATTCTATCCCAGCTGAAACCAGGACACTAGTAATACTATAAATCAGACAGGAGATACTGTACTCACAGTAACAGTCAGTGAACAGTAGCATTCACCTCTCTTGCGTAAAAAACGTGAAAAAATCTGGAGTTAATAAGTTATCTGGTTCAAATTTCTTGAGTTCCACAACATAATTCTACCCTTTAAAGTTTTTATTTCCCCAAGAAAGACATTACTGTGGTATCTGTCCTGTGAAGCTCTTGGTTTCTTCTGCACAAAGTAAGTTATATATAACTTCTAGTTCCTTCCAGAAATGTTGCTTTTCTTGTTTGAATGCAAATTTTATGTATTCTTTGTCACTTTATCTAGAACTCAATTTATATGTCCTTTCTTTTTACTACCTTTTGTGTTTCCAGCATTTGGAAAACATGTCCCATAATTTGCTCAGCAGAACCAACAGAAGTGTCAGTTTAGACAGGTATTCCTACTGGAGTATAAGTCTAGTTTTGCCTCCATCACTGCAGTTACTGTTGGCAATTGTCCTGATTTTGCCAGTAGAAATGGGCCAAATTAGTTCATCTAAGTCTCTGTGCATGGTGTTTTCTGCTTGGCTAGGTGCCTTTGAAACCCCATATAAAGACATTAAGCTCAAAGACATTGGCAAAGTTTAGTCTGAATTTGAACTGTAATCCTTCAATGCTTTATACAGACTTCTTTTCTTGAAATTCTTTGTTTTTCATTCAGTCCCTAGCATTAGTTTAGCCTTTACCTAACTGCATCACCTCCATGTTTTCCATATTTTTCAGTACTTAATCTCAATATAGTTAAATTTTGTTTCCTTTAGTCATGGAGCAGCTGCCTACTCTTCAGTTCATTAAAAGCACCAGATACATTAATAAATAAAATGGAAATTAGACATTTTTCTGCCTGCCCAATCATTTTTATTTTAATTCCTCTCTTTTAACAATGCCTTTATATTTTCTTTCTTGCAATCTTGAAAAGTCAAACTGCTCCAATGCTTGTTTTTAATACCTCCTACTTATGTAAAGAAAGAGCTTTTCTTCCTATGAAAACAAAGCCTTATCCCTACAACACTGAGGAAGGAGTACAATGATATAGCCAAGAAACCAAGAATGAACATATCTTTTGATACCTTAATTTGAGAATTGCCTTAGTCTGCACCATTTGTAAAGCACATTATGTTCCATTTTGGACTCATAACCTTTCTACTCCCTTCCGTAACTAATGCAGGCGGAATATTGAGAAATGAGTAAACCGTACTTATTATGAAATATTTTAAGTTCGGCTCTTTTTCCATTCCTGTGTGTAGTAATGTAAATTTTATTAATGCTTGTTGTGTTTTATTGTTTATTAACTAAATTTGCAAACTGGTGTTGTTTGAAAATGAAATCTCACTGCTGGATCTGTACACAAGTAAAAGGATATAACTTCAATATATTATTTTCTGTAAATAATTTTCCTAGCTTTTCTAATTCAAATCCTTATTTTGTTGGCAGCAGTGCTGTAATATTGAAATGGCAATATTTCATGTGCACTAACTGTGAGACGGGGAATCCAAGACACTTAAACTCCCAAGTGTGATATTTGGGTTATACCTACTTGAAATGAAGCTGCAAGTATTGGCTCTTTTTGGATAGCGTCCAGAGGAGGGCCACAAAAGTGGTCATGGGGATGGAACGCCTCTCCTGTGAGAACAAGTTGAGAAGATTGGGGCTCTTCAGCCTGGAGAAGAGAAGGTTCCGGGGAGACCTTCTTGCAGCTTTCCAGTACTTAAAGGGGACTTGTAGGAAAGATGGGGAGAGACTTTTTAGCAGGGCCTATAGTGATAGGACAAGGGGTATTCGTTTAAAACTGAAAGAGGTTAGATTTAGACTAGATATAAGGAAGAAATTTTTCACAGTGAGGGTAGTGAAACACTGGCACAGGTTGCCCAGAGAGGTGGTAGATGCCCCATCCCTGGAAACCTTCAAAGTCAGCTTGGACAAGGCTCTGAGCAACCTGATCTAGTTGAAGATGTCCCTGCTCATTGCAGGGGGGTTGGACTTGGTGACCTTTAAAGGTCCCTTCCAGCCCAAACTATTCTGTGATTCTATGATTCCTTTTTATGGAGCTCTTTTTTTAATACAGGTTTTTTAATTATGTGCAGTTTGGAGGTTTGCAACTGGGGTCTTCTGTTGCTTTGCGTGTGTACTTGACCTGTACAAAATGTTTTCATGTAGAGTGCCTTGAGCCTGCAGGATCCCTTACTGTTTCAATGGGTATCGACTTCTGTGATTCTACTCAGACGGCCAGTTTCCAGTTATGGTGAGTTCTTGGGGCTGGGGTGGGGGGGGGGTAATTTTTTTCTCTTGGAAGGCAAAAGTAGTGTATATTGGAAGTTTACTTGGCAGTAGCAGACTTGCAGTTTATTAAATATTTAAAGAATTGAACAACAGTTTACAACATGATGTATACCCACAATGTTTTTAGAGAAGTAAGACATAATTAGTTTTCAGTTTTACTATTAGGATTATCAGTTTTCTTCAGTCTTCCAAACTTTTTAGCACTTGCTTCTAAAACATAGATTTGGTGGTAAAGCTCAAATCTAGTTTTGAAATCACATGTATAAGTTCAAAAACTCTTTGACAGGTTATGTTTGGGAGGTCCTGTTTTCCCCTTGGTGTAAATGATACCAAGTAGAAGCGTGAACTCCTTTTCTGGTTTAGAACAACTTCTCTGTTCCTCAGATTTAGTTTTATTTTTTCCCCCTTTTCTTGGGATTCTTCTTCATAACACCACCTTGAAGGGAGGAGCGAGGTCTGACTAGTCTGCTGGAGTGTTTTGTGTGTGTTCATTCTTGTAAGAAGTCACAAATCAAAAAAGCTCATAATGTGAGCAATTTTACTACCTCACGTGCTTATTACGGGTGTTTGTGATCTATGTAACATGACTACATGAAACCAATCCCAAAATTTGCTGGCCAAAGAAGCTTATTCCTTATTCTGTAGATTCTTTTAAATGATTAGACAGAGAATGAAAATAAGTTAACTGGCTGGCCAACTAGATTTTGTCTTATATACTTGATTTACGCTTTTTATGGTCCTTATTGGCACACTTTAAGATCGTCTTTTGTATGGATTCTGTTGCATTCTAGGGTAGCAGGTAACCTGTTCACCCAGTGAGAACTCTTCTTATTAACTAGCTTTTGAAACCAGCGAAAATTTATAGTAACAGTGTCCAAACATCAGGAATGAATGGATGGGAGAAAGCTAGACACCTTCTTTTTAGAGCTATTGAGATTTATATAGTCTTTGAAACTATGCAAAGGGTCTAAATAAATCTGCACATATTTTGAAATAATTGGTTTTGACATTTTGTTGCAAGAAAACACTACTTTCTATATTCTGCATAGAAAAAGGATGTTGAATAGATATTCACCTTGCTGCACTCCAGTTTAGGGAAAGCCCTTTGAGAAAGTTTTGAACCCCTTTCTGGAAAACTTCAGCAATTTTAGTGTACTACTACTAAGCACATTTTGCACAACTTACAGGTTATTACAGATAGCAGGAAAATCTTAATAATAGAGATGTTCCCAAGAGACTCCAAAAAGAACCACTACTAAAATAAAATTTCTTTTTCTAGGGGCAAGGAGGTTTTACTATTGATTTTTTTTTTTTTGCAGTACTCAAATCTTTTCTTGTACAATGGATGCTCATACGTAGTCATTTTAAAGATATTAGTACCTACAGCAAGATGTCTGCAACATGTAGTTTATGTGCATCACATTGTTGTAGCTGGTCTGTATGCTGTTGCTGGAATTTGGAAACAGCTTTGGACTGTTGCCTGATGCTAGGTTTGTTTGGGAAGGGAAGTTTGCTTCTAGGCAATGCAATTTCATAATTGCTTCAAAATTATAGGCTCTCTTT